CCTCCTCAAAACGAAATGCTTTAACCATCAAGAGGGCTTAACATCTTGGTGCGACATTGTAGTTTATTCATTGCCCTGTCGTCGTCCAAAATTAACCCGGTAACTCAAGTCTCATTCGTTTAGTTCTGTTATTTGAAGGAACCTGTTAAGTAAGCCGGCAAATAGTAAAAGCTCGTGGTAAAAAGGTGATGAATCGAGCACTAAAGCATTTACAAAGTCTGAAATTCGTGCAGAGTTGGTTTATTTTTAAATGTAAGCGGCGGTCTTGTGTCAAAATATTATCGTTAAATTCGCGTTTCAAGAGGAACAAGTGTGCGGAAAGCTCCACGACAACGTTTACATTAGATTTTATGAGGCACCGTCTCTCGTCGAGTAATTTAATTTTCGCTATACCATTTTACGTTTTACAAATAGAACGCAAGGACATTGATCAATTATGTTTATGTGTTGTAACAAGAGCTATATAAAAAAGAAAATTGAATCTTGTTTCAAGATATAGAGTGAAGAGTCCAATTAATTCGGGATAATTAGACCACGATAGGATTATTGCGTCCAGAAAGGGAAAAGATAAACAGCGCCTGATGGCGCCAGTCGTCCGAAAACGCGCCGTTCCTTCTTAAAATGAAACGTCGATTGGCAGCACCGCAGAATTGGGTCGCCTATATTTACGTACTGTAAGCGAACCCAGGAATTAGGTGACACCGAAGCTGCACCGCATAAACTGCACTGAACTATAATTACTTTATGGCCGCAAAACTTCACACACGCACTTCTTTTACTAATTAATTTTCGCCTCTCGTTGTTGTTGTACGAACGAGGACACATAAAGAGCCTAATTCAATCAATTTAGACACCAACGCTTGTAACGAACTAAGTAAATTGCTGGGTTAGAAAGGTTACATCAATCATTTGGTCTCGATTGAGCTCATTGGTCTTGTTCCACCCACACGATCTTCTTGCCTACATGACATCCTCGATAAGGCAAACAATACTTAGATTTAATTTTGTTAGAAATAACAACAGACATTTTTTTTTATTGGCTATCCATACTTCTTGGCTAAGAAGTTTCGTTTATAGTCGATCTTTATGTTAGTTTTGTCTTTGTTATTTTTTATTGTGACATTTATTAACCACCTCTTTTAAATTCATCGCATGTAGAAATTTCAATTCGAGAGTTTATTGCCTACAATAAAGTTTATTAAAATATGTCGTTTTGTTGCTCTATAAGTTCACACCAGGTGTGTTCCTATTAAATGTTGTTTCTTCAAATGGTGAAATAGCCATATTATACATATTGTTAAGGTTTGGGATATAACTTTTTAACTTCAAATATGACCTTGAAAACATGGTGTTGTGTTAACCTGTGTTTAAAATTTTGAGTTTTTTGCCAAATAAAGAACAAAAAACTAGAACTAACACTAGCACTGTCATACTTCTATCAGGTGTCACGATATCCACCTAATACAACGTCAAAAAATTGTAAAACTTCTGCATTGTACACTTGTTCAAGGATAATAGCAAGGCAGCTTGCTATCAGGTGAAGAACTAATACTTTTTGCAACTGATATGAGACTATTTGTTGTATCAGCACTTATGCAAAATGGAAACGAGTGTCCGCAAAAATCTCTCTTTTCCCGGAGCTCGAGTTCTGATACGATGCTAGTGGTAAATTATTGTTTCCTGAATATTGTATCTCCTAAAAATTTTGAATTGAACATACACTTCCACAAGAAGATTACAAAATAATAAGCAACCCAAGAGAACCTTTAATATTAATCATATAGATTCAATTGAAAACGACATGTTTAAGACTTGGCTAAAGCGAAATTAGAAATAATTTGGACCTTTCCACGAATATGTAATCCTAAGCTTGTACCAGCTTTATTATGCTAAGACATACTGGTCTTTAAAAATCAACTTAAATCATTGCAAACTCTTATGCCAAAAGAATTATTTGATATTCTGGATGAAAGCTCTTTCTCTGCATGAAATCAGTGAATTTAGAAGGACAAAAACAATTATAAAGAGATACGGTATCGTTCCATGTGACCAAATCACATGTTTTGAGTAAATAGTACACCATACGGCCACTTTTTGTGCATGAAGTGGTGTCTCATGGAAAACACGAAGATTGTTGGTTGCCCAAAACTGGGTATTTTGTTTGTTATGCCCAAAGAGGTGGAATTGCGCTTTGTCGCAAATCAACAATTTCTCGAAAAAATCAGCCATTTCGTTATTGTTGCAACAACTATCTGAATTTAGTACGGAAACATATTCAAATCTGACATCAAAATTGTTTGAAGGGACCACCAAGAAATGGTCAATTGGGTTGCACATTTTCTCGTCGATGTTCATAGCTCTTCATCGCAACTATCTCTCACGCTTGGTTGTTTTCGATCTCGGTTTAACCCAGTATCTTTAAGATGACTGACCAGACGTCAAGTTGTTTGAGCAGTAGGCGCCATTTGGTTTGGATTTTTCTTCCAAAATTTACCGTTGAAACAATTTTGCTAGCGTATTCCTTTCCATTTTGAAGCAGGATAAATTGTCACCTGTCAAATGTAAAGAGAAACAAATAATATTGACCACCAAATGACCTTAGTTTTGACATAAGCAAAGAAATATCTTATACCTAAGGTACTCAATAACACTACTAGTGTTGTAATTGCACCAAACGTGATGATTGTTGGTTTTTTGTGATCCCATAGGTGATCTATGGTACTACATAGGTGGCGCAAAAAGTATCACCCTATTCGAACACAAAATCTTTTTAATCTAATTTTCAACACAGAAAATCGATACCCACAGCTAAAACCCGGGAGTTTTCTATCAAGATATTATCATTACGGTAACAACAACTCCAGAACGAAGTAGATCCAATCTCAAATTTTATTCATCGCTAAATCAGAACTTTAATTGATAAATTCCTGCTGTGTTATTTTCTCGAGAGCTCTTAATTTTCTCTTGTTTATTTATAAATTTATATTGAACTGGTTTTAGATGAAGAGTTTGTAGCACACTTCCTGCGGGTTCTACTAATGTTTGCATTACGTGTTTTTCAATTTTGTTCTGCAGTATAATGAACTGTTTTCTGATATCTTATTCCATCAGATTTAATAAAGAATTATTAAATTACAATTATAATGTATTAACAATTTGATAAGAATTAGAGATATATAATTTTTATTTATCTTTATTTTTAAATCTTGATTAATTTTTTGATATAAACAACGTTAAATTTTATGTGCGAATCGATTTTGTTCATTGGTCTTGTACATTACGCCCACGCAATCATGGTGCATGTTGAATATAACGAAATGGTGCCAAGATTTGAGTTTTACGAGACTCAAAGTTGGTAAACACAACACCATCTGCAAGTTTACCTTGGACAGATTTTGAATGTTTATGCTTTACACGTCCTATTTTTGAAGATGTTTGTGGTGAATAATTTTTTACTTAAAAAAAGGAGATTTTGCAAAATCTTTGTTTATATAAGCAGCAATTTTATTTCTTCAGGATGTTGAATCGTTCCCCGAAGTTTACAAAATATGGGTTTATAAAACAAGTCTACGAACCCCGATCTATTTTTACAAAAGCAGATATGGACTAAACACCGTGACGGTTTAATGGAGATGTTGCTTCCTTTGAGGTAGCAGTAAAATGTACAGTAAATAAACATAAAAAAGATAACTCTCGTCTCCGCGATTCTGAGGCAAAAACAAGCTAATTCATATCCAGCTCATCAAAGATCCGTTTTGTTTTTCTCTTTACTTAGCATTCTTTCTTTATTTTTATTTTTTTGGGGAAAGTAAATCCAAACTAAACAAGTCGAATAATGTGTCGCACTATTCCCTTGTTTATGGAGGCTAATTTTAGGTGAGAGAGATGCTATTTCGGAAGCGAAAGAGGTGCGTTCATCTCCTTTTGCCCCGAAGGTTGAATGCGAAGTATGCAGCCTTCATAAAAAGAAACATTAGCTGGTGGGACAGCTAGCAGTCGACGTCCCCGTCGAGTATTAACCGCTTCCTGTGGGATTTGATCCTCCTTTCCGGCGCACTTCCATGCAATCCGTACCACTCAACCAATTAAGCTAATTGTGACAATCACGACGGGCCGTATGTCTATCCGTATCAATTACAAAGAGGAGTTAACTAATACAAATAAGGGGTGGTCTTCGTATTTATTTCAATTATATGACAGAAAAAAATCGCTTATACATTTTAGTTTATAAATATAATTGATGCAATTAGGTGGTCTTGTAAATACAAATGTTGGCAATTAACCAGATCATTTCAGGCAAGAAGTTTAACGCCTCACACAGAATTTACGATACCGCGTCTGAGAGGAATGCGAATGGATGGAAAAGATATCAAAGTAGCAGGAGTGGTTCATGAACTATGAGCGGTGGATAAATGTTTGCGGGTAATTTTAGACAACAAGTTTGACTGTTGTTAGTGTTAAGAGCCACTGGGTGAACGATTGTTTTAGTAATCTCTCATAACGAGTTGGGTTGGCATCTGGAGCAATAAACCGTCGGTAAAAATGGCTTGTTATGCAAAACATTGCTTAATCATGCCGAAGCCACGCGAGAGAAGGTTTATTTACAACCGTCCGTACCAACAGAGTTGGGCGTCTTAATGGCCATCGTGTATTCTTGGACGATGAGGTGGTTCCCAAAACACACCAAGTTCAATGATGACGAAAAAGGACCTTTACATTCAATTCGAAGAGTGCACGGTTTTACTTTAACTTCTCTTCTTGCACGGGATTCCGGTCTAAGAATATAGTCGCAGGTAGATATTTGTTCATGAACTATAAAACCGAAACCCGATCTATTTATGCGATACGGCTTTTTGTTTCACTTTGGGCATACGCCAACGGACGAGATTAGCCTAAATGACGCGTGGTATGAATAGTAGTTATGCGGCTCGGCCGCCAAATGCTGCTCGATTTTTATTTCTCTCCTATTTTCCATATCGAGCTGGTCGGGTCTAAATCTGGACCCAGGGAACAGTGGGGCCCCCTATATGCGGGCAAATAGCGCGCTGACGGGAGCTAATGACCAGCAAATGCCCGGCTCGACAAATGACACCGAAAATGCACATGATAACGTTTGGTTAAACTTTGATTGCTTATTATTAATTTATCAATCATGAACATCTTCAATAATTTACTTGATGTATTAGACAAGGTAAGAATTATTGGGGTTGAGTTGAAGGAAATACTGTAAATGTGTTTTTGCATTTGTAAATGATTTCATTTCCACTGCCAGGTGTGTTTAAATACCTCATAATTTATAAATACACTTTGTAATGTAAAGGACCTTTTATAAATCTAGAATTATCCGGCTATTTTTTCCCCGTGCCTCATCTACTTAAACATAACAAAATTATTACTTTGAACTGTTCTTTCAATAAATAAATCCGTATTTTAAGAAACGGTATATTTTATTTTAGATGCCCTGGCCAAAAACAACTTCAACACCGAGTTACAGTAAAAAAGAGATCGCACCGACAGCACCAAAAGTAAGTGTGTATTATCCATAGTTCGAATAATCCTACAAACAGCTAAGGTTTAAATTAGAAGTCCCGAAATAGATCACTACTCAATGAATGACCAGACTATTCACTAACATTCTGAATTGTTTCTCTATAAGTATCAACATGACGAATTCTTAGTGACTATAAATTAATTATTTCTCGATATATTTTCAGTATGAAACCACCTATAGTCGTACGCGTGCTGAAACGAAGAAGTTGGACGATAAAAGTGGAGCGTCTCCACTTACAAAATACAGCGCCTATAGCTCAGGCTACCAACGAGACAGCACAAATAGTAAGATAGAAAATTTTAAACTTTTATTTGTTTTGAAAGTGACCTAAGTTTGTTTATATTAAAATTAAATTAATAATTTATATTAACGTACATAAATAATATAATTAGGGATTAAATGTGTTAAAATCAAGAAAATAATTGCGAGTAATGACGTTGCAGAAAGTTAAGTTTTTTGAAAAAACGTCATTGTTTGTTGTTACATCCATAAGTGTTTTGTTATTCAATTAATAACAGAAATAGCATGAAATGCAAATTGATATTGAACCCAAAATGGAGAATGTATGGTTATTAATGTAAAATTGGGGATCTCGAAGTCATGACAAGATTAGTTGATATGAATACAGATACAGCCTAATCGTTACAGGACTTGCATTTTGCAAAAATAGCTAGTACAATGATGATTGGCAGAGAACGCCATGTGAATAGCAAAGAATTCGTGTTTATTGCATTCAATACCAAAAGACTAGTAAAGAATAGCAAATAACTATTATAAAAAGCTAAATGACTAACAGAAAATCCTAGATGACTTATGGAAACTCTAGATGACTCTCAGAAAATGTCAGGTATGCAGCAGATAATATTTTGTGACTCTCATAGAATACTAGGATAACTAACAGAAAACTAGGAGATTGGCAGATATTACTAGATGAATGGCAGAGAATGCCAGATGAATAGTAGAAAATGCCAGTTTACTGCTAAGAATATTAAAAGACTAGTGGAGTATGCAAATGACGACTATAGAATACTAGATGACCAACGAATGAATGTCAGATGAATTTTTAGTTGGGAATTGTTGGGATTCGTACCCTTTCTCAATATTCCGGCCCTTTACTAGTTCATGGTTTGTTTATTATCTTTGTCACAATCCCTAACGGATGTTGGAATTGTTATTCGTTTAATGGGCTTTCTGTATACATAAAAGGAGGCCTATAGAATTGTAGTTATTTGGATTTATCTTGTCTTTGCCTTTTCGTGAACTTGCAAATTGCGCCAAACTTCCATGCTATTAGATAGTAAGCAATTAAAAATGTTCGTGATCTGAACTAATAATTTCTCGAGGTGTTTGATTACTACATTTAGTATGCGATCAGGTCTATGTGCTTTTTTAGTAGGTTTTTAGCTTAAGTTTTTCTGAGAATGACCGCAAAAACTACGATTATTACGGCAGTCGAGGTTGTTCAGAAATATCACAGAAAACTATAAATTTATCTTGATTGATGATAATAACAATACCTAAAGACTTGTAGAAAAACTAAATGATAACCATAGAATACTAGATGACTAAGTGAGATTTCTAGATGGCAAGAAAATATTAGGTAAATTGCAAAGAATATTTAATGACTATCATAGAATAGTAGATAACTAACGGATAGATTTAAGTAACTGGCAGAAAATACAAGATAAATGGCAAAGAATTCCAGATGAATAGTTTTAATTCCATCTTATTGCAATGAATGAATGAAAAAAATTAGCAGGGAATACTAAATGACGGCCATAGAAAACTAAATGACTAACAGAAAAGTCTAAAGGATTGACTAGGTGAATGAAGAGAATATCTCACGACTACTATAGCCTACTAGATAAAAATGTCAAATGACATCTAACTGCAAAGAATATCAAAACACCGCCATAGAATACTAATATAGAGTTATTGGTGATTGGCAGAAAATATCAGATGACTAGTAGAGAATGTCTAATGACTACCAATAATACTAGATGACTAAAAGAAAAGTCTAGGGGATTGGCAGAAAATTGTAGATGCATGACATAAAATATCTATCATTACCAGTTGAGCAATGTGAATGGTAACATTCCCTATCAACTCAGTATTGTTATCTTCTCAGCTCGTGGTATATCCTTCTGTTGTTTTTTTTAAACATTCTCGATGATTATGTCCATAATGAGATTAAACAACCTCATAACAAACTTAGGCTGTGTTTTTGGGTTGAGTTCATCATGTCAACGTCGACAGTGGATATAATAATATAAACATATAATAAGTAAAGTACGTTTTATGTTTTTATATTGCTTGATACTTAATTATTGTTTTATCAAGAAATATTGCTTTGAGAAGAAATGGTTTTGTTTGATTTTATTCCTTTTTCAAACATTAGTCAGGTGCATCACAATTTAGAGGCATTGTTTTGGCTGCAATTGTGAGAAAAAAATTACTGCGTTAAATACCCAATTAATAAAAAACTTCCCATATTAATTTTATCGTTCACTAAAAATATGCAGTCCATAATTTAATTATTGAAAAATTAATGCAGAATTTGTTAAAGACGCTTCTTTAACTTGTTTGAATATGCATATACTTCCATGAATAGAATAGCATTAGCACGCGAGCAGAGTACAGCTTCAACGTGCTTCTAATTTATCTCTAATTAAAAAAGAGCGGTTTCATTAGACAATAGTATTATTCTTGCTATTATGTTGGTAGTGATAACAAGTGGAAGCTTTTAAAATTAATTTCCGTGCGATTTCTTAATTTTTAAAGTACATATAACTTATTAGTTTGTTATAAATTGATTATCTAGTTGAAACAATGGTAGTATTGTTAAACATAATGACACAGTAAATATTTCTCTGGATTGTTTGGAAATTTTTTCCTTGGGGACCCATAGTTGAAATTATCGTTTGATGGGGACGATGTTGACATTTCACATAGAAAACTCACATAAAGCAACACATATACGATAAATGCACAATGTATTTTAGTTTTGAAGTAAACAGCTTGATATGTGTCCTTTTTAGAATTATCAATACAGCTGTCTATACTCACTGTTTGGCAAACCTCATTATATTTACAAAGCTGTTGGACTGTTTGCATTTAATGTAATTTGAAAAAAAAAGACTTAGGCCTCTTTCAAAATAAATACCTAATTTATTTCATTTTAATTATTTGTATAAATTTATTTCAGGTGGACTTCCAACCCGAACCGACTTGAGCAGATATAAATTAGACAAAAAGGAAACTAGTCATCCACCAGTAAGTTATCGTCCAATAACGAGAACATCGGCATCAAGATCGAGAGATCCCAGCCCGTCAGATAGAAGTAAAAGTGAAAGTACTTCCTCATCAAGTTATAATTTAAATAGATTATATCCTTCGTCGTATACAAGATCAGTGAGTAGAGAGAGAACTGAATCACCTCAGAGTACAATCCCAAAATTTACCGGGGGAAGAGCCAAAGATGATTTAAAATATTCTGTAGGAAAAACTTCGCGTGACGTTTCCAGAGAAGATTTATCCTCGCTAGGATCTCCAACAAGATACAAAGCGAGTAGTATTTTATCGCCGTCTTCGTCTAAAGAAGACATTAAATCCCAAAAATACATTAATAGTAGATTTTTGCCAAAAAACTCCGTAGAAAAAAGTTATACAGCGTATTCGCGACCAAGTACAGGGAGAATTAGCGAAGTAAGCAGGAAAAACCGCGAAATATTAAACGTGTTATCCGCTCAAAACGAAGCCGAAAAAAGCAGACCAGTAAGCAGAAATTCAAATCACGAAGATATGCGGGATAAATCAAGAGAAATTCCAAAAATTGATATCATTTCTTATGATGAAACAGAAACTATCACCGTAGTAACAAGGAGTACATCACCAAATCCCCCAACACAAATGGCAATGGTAAGAACAAGAAGGTTAGATAACGCAAGATTAATAGAAAAGCAAATAAGTCGACTCAAAAGAAGACCGGAAATGATCGATAAAGAAGTGCAATCCGATCGGTTAGACGACTCCACAAAATCATCACGATTTGCTGGCGCATCCAGAATCGCGGCACCTTGGTCATCTTATTTAGATTTAAAATATTCTAGTCCAAACGAAGAAAAAAATAAATCAGAAAATGAAGAAAAAGCACAAAAAGGAGTCGATACTCCAAAAAGTTTATCAAGAAATAGTTCAGCTAAAAGCATTTGCACCTCCTCTTCTAAATCTGATATACCAAAAGAACCAAAGAAAATTACCTCCTTATGTGATAATAAACCAAAATCGAAATTAACTCCACCCCGATCTTTACAAAGTGATATTAAAAAACAGTTACCACCACAAATACCAAAGCTAGAAAACCCAACAAAACCCCAAAGCAGTAATATAACAACCCCAAATAAAGATTTTAGAAAATCCGTTTTAAATATGAGCACAGAAAATAAATTGAGAAAGAAAAATTCTAAAAGAAGTAACAGCGTTAGTTCTGCAGATTCTGATGGAGCTACGTCTGAAGCAACCGAAGTATCCGAAAATCTTTCGAGTTGTATGGTTTTTCCAAGCAGCTCTTTAAGCAAATTACCCCAAAAATTAACAGAAGACGACTCCTTAAGAAGTAGAAGATCTTGTACTAGATCACCAAGCGTTCCATCAGACACATCATCCGCAGCTACAAGCGGCAGCGAAGATGATGGCAAATCAAAAATAAAAAATCGATTACGAAAATTTAGCGGCTCATCACGATCCTCTTGTATGGTATCAGCATTAGAAGACTTATCAGATAAATCACCTAAACCACCTTTAAGTCCCCGAGTAAAACCCGAAAGTCCAAAAAATGAAACAGAGGCAAAATCATTTTTAATGCGAGCTTTGGCCCCGGTAACAAATTTTTTTAAACCAAGACAAGATTCTAGTGATAAATTAAACTGGATGGACAACACCTGTGATAACGTATCAGAAATTAGGTCGGATAGTTCCAGTAGCAATTTAAAAAGTGACAATAAAATCGAAGAGCAAAGAATTCCCGCACAAATTGAAATATATCGCGTTGAACCAAACGTTTTTGATTTTGAACCCGAAGAAATCAAAGAAGAATTGAAAGTTCCTAAAGTGCTGTATAGAATTGAATCTGGGGAAAAGGCGTGGTGGTTACAAGATTATTCAGATGAAGGTGAATTAAAAGAAAAACACGAAAAAAATGAAAAATCGCTTAATAGTCCTAAATATCAAAAGAAATCTTTAAGGCATGTTGATTCGGGCGATATTCCTTGGTGGTTGCAAGATAACCCAACAGAAATTCCTGAAGGTGTTAAAGTATGGCAAGTAGCGACGCAAGAAAACGGGCAATACACCAAAGATGGTAGAAATATTTACAAAGTTCAAGGAGACGATGAAAAAGTGTTTTGGTTCGAAGAAACCGAACAAAGTCTTTCTAATTCTTCAAATAAATCCGGAAAATTTAAAATTAGAGTTTTAAAACATGTAGATTCCGGTGATAGACCGTGGTGGTTAGATGAAAGCGCTGAAGTACCTGATGGAGTAAAAGTGTACCCTAATTACAAACAGATTGAAGATGACGATAATGATAAAGACGATCGTAAACGATGGTTTATAGGAAGTAATGATGAGGACGAAGACGAAGTCGATAAAGCGGAGGATGATATCGATGAACCGGAATTTTTAAGAAAGCATAAAATAAGACACATCGATTCAGGTGAAAGAGCTTGGTGGTTAAATAGTGTTGAAAATTTAGTCGATGAAACTATTTCTGATAGAAACTCTAACCATCCAAACATTAATTCAAGTATTAATTCAAAAGGAAAAGATTATTGGTTGGATATCCAACAAGCAAAAAAACTCGATGATTCCGATAACGAATCCGTTTGTGATTTACCTTTAGGTGATAGAGCAAGTCCCGAAGGGCTTGAAATGCCTAGAGAGGAAGAAAATGAAGGAAGATTATCTCCGTATGATAACGTACCGATTGAAAAAAATAAAAAATCGGGTGATATGAAATTATTTATTTGTAAGCATACAAATATTGATGATATTTTGGGTGGTTCTGGGCAGTTACTGAGTCCGTTGATGCATCGAATATTTAGTTACCAAGAAGGATATAGTGAAGATGGTGAGAAATGCCGTGAAATCGATCCTGGTCAAGTACGGATCCACGATGGTTCACCACAAAGAGGGGTCGTTCAACCGGGAAGATTGTAAGTAATTTTCTAAATTTCATATAGTAAAATCTTGATATAATGGACAAATACGGTACTCGATGATACCTCTATTTTAAACGCATAAACAATTTTTTATGTTTTACAACACTATACTTAATTATATGTATCTATCATTCACATTTTTCTTATTACTTTTTAAAGTTAAATCTTTGCTGAATCATCACCCAACTATGCTAACAGAATCTACACATACATTCGTTCCTCATTAAAGCATTAATCACGTTCCAACACTCCCACAAAATCTTGTAATCGCTCCTTTATTTATCGCATACTTTATCGCTCTTTTGGATTTCGCACTCTCATTTTATTCATCGTTACATCTTCTCTCACTATTTACCCAGGGGTTTCCCTGCTTATTTCTAAATACCTCTTTTGAATATCTTCCACCTGCTTATACTCCTTCCAGCTCTATATCTCTGTCTTACATTACAGAACATTACCAGAGTTCTTATCAAACATTAGTTCCTTCTCACCAAGTCATTCCCGAATGTTTTTTCCTCCTAACCCCATATCTGCGCCAGTAACTTATTTGCTTTTTTAATTATTTAACTGATATGAGTCCTATATCTATTATCAGCTTGCAAAGTAAATATCAGATACGGAAATTCTTTTACCATTTCCGCTCTGCTCGATTCCATTCCATTTCGCATTGAGTATTTATGCAAATTATGAAATGATTTTAATGTCAACTTAATCTTGAAACATACCTCTCTAAAAACATGTATAAAACATGTTGGGTTAAATAATAAAATTAGTTAGCAAAAAAATTAGGAAATATTTTGGTGCTTTCAAAACGGGGAAATGAACAGTAATTTTTGAAAAATCATTGACGGAGTATTTATAGAAATGATGAAACAATTTTGATTACAAATTAATCCTCAAACATTTCTCTTTAAAATGATGTATAAAACATGTTGGGTTATTGTATCATTTCTCTTCAAAATGATATGTGTATATTAAGTTAGGTTGGGTTATAAAAATCCTAAACGAGAGACAAGTTATTCTAGTGTTTTGAAAATGTCAAAACGAGAAAAAATTCTTGATAAATGGAACGTGTTCAATGTTAGTTTTCCAAATACCTTTGTCTTATATCATTTGCGCATTTTTTTCTTTCCTTTTTTAACTCTCAGCTTACAAGTTTAGCTAAATTACTACTTTTCAGGTACACTATTGAACTAAAGCGTTTGACTATTCTTTTCGAAGAAAGTATTTTATTGTAAGGCAGAAAGATTATATCAAGATTTTAATTCTTAATATTATCTATATAGGTATACCGGGAATTTCATATAACTCGCATATATGAATGCTGTAAGCATAGTTACGAAACTACTATGCACTTGTACTGTCTCACATAAAATGCAACATAGCTTAATAGTACAGGCATTGGGTAGTTTTGCAAAGGAAAAGTTTTGCTTGGAAAAGGTGACGTCCTTATGACAACTCTAAGTTTCAGTCTTAAGAGAAGCACGACTAAACCCGAAACTTTCTAGTTCTAGGTCCAGTGTCAGTTCTAGTTTTACACTAGCACTGTTACTATGTAGAACTAACACTATACCTAAAACTAGAATCATTCAGCCGCACGTCTCTAAAGACGGTTAAACCCGAAGATAAAGCCGTCTTTAGAGACGGATGGCTAAACCCAAATGATCCTAGTTCTAAGTATAGTGTTAGTTCTACTGATAGTGATAGTGCAAAACTCGAACTAACACTAGACCGAGAATTAGAAACATTCGGATTTAGTCGCACGTCTCTCAAGACGCCTAAACCCGAATGATTCTAGTTCTACGTCTTGTGTTAGTTCTAGTGTTAGTGTAAATCTAGCACTAACACTAGTACTAACAGTAGACTGAGAATGGAATAATATTTTATAGGTACGAACACTTTCATGGCCGGTGTTAATTAAACTAAAACTGGTACTAATAGTAGCACTATCACTAGAACTAACACTAGATCTAGAACTAGAAACATTCGGATTTAGCCGTTCGTCTCTTAAGACGGCTAAACCCAAATGGTTCTAGTTCTACTACATAATCTAATATACGTACATTTCTAATACGTATATTTAACCCTTCTACTACTTCAATAAAAATATACAAGAATTTAGTGCTGAATAACAATTAAAACTAGAACTAACACTAGACCTAGAACTAGAAAGTTTTTAATATTCGAATATTTCTAGTTCTAGGTCTAGTGTTAGTTCTAGTTTTACACTATCACTAGAACTAACACAAGACGTAGAACTAGAAGCATTCGGGTTTAGCCGTCTTAAGAGACGTGCGGCTAAATCCGAATGTTTCTAATTCTCGGTCTAGTGTTAGTTATTGTTTTACACTTCCATTGTCACTATAAATAATATTAGACCTAGAACTAGAAACATTCGGGTTTAGCCGCACGTCTCTCAAGACGGCTAAACCCGAATAATTCTAGTTCTAGGTCTTGTGTTAGTTCTTGTGATAGTTCTAGTTTTAGTTCAATAAAAATATGCAACATAGTGATATTTTATGCTAAGTAGCGCTACCTACCAGCCGTCTTAAGAGAGGTACGGCTAAATGGAATGTTTCTAATTCTAGGTCTAGTGTTAGTGTTAGTCTAGTTTTATTTGTTATTCAGTTATTGATTTGCTGTATATTTTTATTAACCTATAACGGACACTGCGTTTCCCGTATTGATCCGTTATATCGAGGTTTTACTGTATGATGCATTTTATGTGGGACAAAGTAAGTAGGTACACCCTCAATATATTTTTGTATATTGCATCTTAAGTAAAATTCACTGTATAATATAAAATTGTTATTGTTTCAGAGACGTGATCGGTGGATCTAAAGAATATGGCAAGGTAAGATATTTTATTAATGATGTAATACTTCTAAAACACCATCCGTGCCGAGACGTATAGGAAGTTTTTACTAGCATAACACGCATAGTTGAAATATCTTGACTGAAACTTACAATAACATAAAAAAGAGGCGAGTTCTATTGTCCCGATCTTGATTGAAGATCGACACGGCATGTTCGAGGGCCGTATTGCAAAGTGCTTATCGTAGAACACGCCTTCCATATGTCGTTGGAATACTTGCGTACATAATTTCTATGTAATTTCTTTTGCGGCTTGCAGTTCCAGCTCTGGTGAACATAAATTAATTTCGAAAGGAACGTTGTAAAATGTCACTTGTTTTGAGAGCGTTGTGCGGTAGGTGGGTAAGTAAAACCGCGTTCAATGGCCAGACATTAACATTTGAGGAATTGAAAAAAATAAATGTCTCTTATCGGTTATCGGTTAATTTATAAGATCATAAGTGCAGTCGTCCGCATTCATTCCGCCAAATATAAAGAATTTAACGACTCCGGTTATGTAATCCGCTAAATGACCGTCGGACGAGTATAAATAAAGATTTTATTACCGTACTTTGCTGCCGAAGACCTCCTGGTCAACACTCGCGGCTGATATTTCAATCCGTTTTTAATGCAGATATTTCGGAGGTCCGAGATAAGAACGTCGTTTGGAGAAGAATTTCGACTCTATTTTATCCGATTACAAGGGCGTAAAAGTGGAAAAAGTGCATTAAATTTAGGATCGCTTTTTTGAATAAACAAAAAATCTTGATCGTTAAATTTTTACCTTTCAATTCTCACATTTCGAATCTGTTTTTTTACTAGTGCATAAAATATCTACAATGTAGTATATTTCCAGTCAAACCAGTTAATTTCACCACGCCAACACTTTAGTTTGCGTGTATATCATAACTTGTATCGTATGGTATTTCATCACCATGAGTATGGTTGAAGTAAAATAAAATAAAATTTACATGCAATTTTTTTATTGGTAAAGGTTACAATTCGAAAGTATTAAAAATAGAAATGATGGTTACATTTTTTAGAGTTCCACGCTCGTCAATGTTTATTTAGCGATAAATCACCGTTCGAAGTTGATTTGCATAATGCTAGCAAACACCACAGATGCTTACACGTTTTTAACGCGTAGGATCATTTCGGGATCGTGTCGATTAGGAAACCCAACGGGAGATTAGCACTTAAATATTAGTTATGGGTCGTAAATTTACCGGGGATGTTTGCCAATCTATCACAGACAATGATCATCTATAACGAAAACCCCTTTCCGTTGTTATCCCATAACATTCAGTAGGCAGTCGTTTTATTTGTATTCCAATTCCTTTCGTGAAAGCCGCACTTTGAGTGGCGACCAATTTGTTATATCGGGAGTGAAAATATCGCTCATTAATCATTCGTTTCAAAGATAATCGTGGACGCTTCCATGTTTGCACAATGGGTCACCATATCGCTTTCTACGAATATCCGCGTTTACGCAACATGAATGAACATCATCGATATCGCCGTGATATTTTCGTAATCGTTTTTTAAAAGAATTTCTTGTTTATTTTAAGTGGTTCTGAGATGCACTTTTTCCGCGAATTTTAACTTAAAAAAACTTTGTAATCTACTTTGTATGCACTTCAACATCGAACCCGAACGTGAAAGGAGTTTCGCTTTTTTTTTACTACTCTTTCTCGGAATTCAAGAAACTTTGGGGTTTATCATCAATCCATCACGGGCACGATCCTAAAAGAGTCATTACCATGGGAGCAGAACGCCACGAGGAATGTAAATTTGGCTCGACAAAGGTTTTGTGGTCATTCCCCGAAAACGATCTTTTCGCTTCTCATCCATAAATAAACAAATTAGTACCACCTGGGACGAATTTTACGATAAAACCATATTATTCAATCTAAATCTCTCATTTACATACATTTAGAAAAACGTTTCCTGAATAATAATGATTAAAAATCCTATCGCATCATAAAAAATAAACAAAGAAATTATTTGAGTTTGTTAGACAGGAAATTCATTGAGTTCCTTTTTATTAGGATTCTTGGGTCAGGTATGAAAAAGATGATTCATCTTGGATTAAAGAATTCTCCCTTTTTCCTGAACACACTGACCCCACAAATTCTTACAACGCCCAAGAATTTATTTAAATTAACTACAACTTGGAATAGTAGGTAGTTTTTTCGTTATTATTATTTTTCTTTTAGAGAAAAATTCTTACACAACACGCAGAGAACGCGTTATCGCTATATCATATCACCTGAAGCCACTTGTAAATGGGTCAGCACAGCGCTTTTCCTTCCATTGTCAGTCGTAACGATATTTCTCGTACGTTAAAATCGCGCGCAACGGAAACCAACAATAAGGTTTATTATCAACGACGACGAGGGCCAGATTTCGAAAGCTGACTTACATACGTTCTTATAGGCGAGAATTGTAAGTTGTACGCAATTACGAGCTCGGCGACGAGGAGGTTACGTTCACTTTCTTTCGGAGGCGCCATTCCTCAATGTTATTCTAAATCCTGGTATTGTGCATTAATATTTCAAGATTGATCGTATAGATTCTGTCGGTAAACTTAACGGGATTTCAATTCAATGGTGATAGATATTATTAGCATTTTTATTGTGACATATCGCGGAATGATAAAGATCGTTACTAGTATATAATTTATTTCTTGTAAAATACAATAAACGTATTATAAAAGATGTGCTCTATAGAATTGATATTTAAACGGATAAATTTAACGAACAAACTTATTCGTAGAAATGATTCAATATCAATAACAAAGCTAGCTGATTGCGCCACGAATAAAGCAGAAAAACAAGTCAATAAAATTCATTCATTTAGAACAATCTTCACCCGAATAAAATGGGTTGTTAAAGATAACACAAATATGGAATTTGAAACTATAGTCCATCTCATCTAAATGTGCAGTTATAAATCACAGTGACAGATAGTATACATGTCTCATTCGTGTTTTTGAACCCTTGCCAAAGATTGGTTTAAATAATGTCAAAAAAATATTGGTATCTTGTTGCCTACGTGTTTATTTGTCTATCTCTCTCTTTCTGCAAAGTATATAAAAGTTACTATACATACATCGCAGTTCTTCCTTCTGATATTTCCCTACGAATTGCATTTCGTCAATCACTTCTGTATACGCTGATAGCTTTTGATGCAAATTCCTTGTAGTTATGTTGTGGCTGGAAAAAACCTCCATACAATACTTGAAGATTTGGGTTGAAAATATAGGTGACTAGCTAATGCAGTCCTTAAAGAGAACCGTAGTATGCTTTCTGCATCAAACGCAACGTATGGAGGTTGAGTCAATTATAGCCTGATATCGTCAGGCTTCACTCGATCTCAACTCGAAAATTTGAGTAATCAGATACTTGATAGCTGTAATGCAATCAGAAACACTCTTGGTGGTTTTGAACCAGTTCGGAAATCACTAAACGGAAGATTAGATGCATGCATCCAAGATAGCGGTAATCATTTCCAGCAAATTTGCTTACCTTAAGCATCAATTTCATATCTATTTTCATCTACACCTATTTTTATACATAAAGTGTGTTTAGGGATATACTAAGACTTAGGAACAATAGGATACGTCAGCTTCGGCATAGTGATGATAGATAGTTGGTTTTTCCCAATTTCTGGTAAGGAAACAAAATGAAAACTATTTCTAAACTATTTCATGATATTTAAAAATATAAGCCGAGGTCGCTTGCTACCTCGATCTTGTTTTATGTTTCAGTGTCTTGTAATGCCTTGTTTGACAGTGGCTACTAAATTATGCTTTTGCAATTAAGAATATTGATTTATGCCAAATCATTTGTCGTATATGAATCCTCTCCCAAAAATCTAATACTTGTTTTAGAGCCAACCCAACTCACCTTATGCACCGCGGCCTACTGTTGGCTCCTGATGTTGGCAGATGATGAAAAAGGTGCTATCCACCAAGAAGTCCAACACATTTTCTTTCCGAAACCATCAAATTTGCATTTCTTCGGAAAACTCAAAACTTGGTCTTTTGACCATTTCTTTTGAAATTTTTATATTTTCACTAAACTAACCTTTAGTATGGACCCCTCTTCTTTTCCTCTTCTTTGCCGTCCATGGTTTCGCCCCTAATCCTTCTGCCGTTCGCTTTCTTTTGGTATTCCACATGTTCCTTATTCATTATCTGTTTTTCTCATTCATTTGTAACTCATTATTCATTATTTACGCAGAAAATAATCACGGAAACAATGCAATTATTTAACAATCACATCGTTTCAACATAGTCCTATAACTTATGGGTGGCTTATTGGGTTATTTTTCAAGTTGTCCAAATAGCTACTAACACTATCAAGTCTGGAGGGTAACACAGGGTTTTTATGTTTTAAAAAGACAGACACATACTTAAAGAGTAATATTTCCAAAAATATAGCATTATTTTGTATCATGCTGAAACTGTAGTTGTCACGGATGGTATTTGGAATTATAGTCCATCCCACCTCAATATACAGTTATAAATCGCTATGGCAAATGGTAAGCGTATCGTTTCTTTGATCTCTCTCATATTGATCTAAATATGTTCACATGCCTTAGTTGCAAATCATTATATTTACTATACATTGGCCTCTCAAGTACAAAATATGTCATAAACACATTTTCATTTCTAACTCATTTTCTCTCTATTCAAAGTATAAAATTTCATAGTCATTAATTGTCCTTTACTGTCATTAAACTTTTGGTGTTTCAATGAGGAAAGTATATTCAGTGTATCACGTCAACTGTTCTATTGCCAATCGTGTCTATCATTACGGGCATTTCATCCACATTGTCAGTTTGACACAATAAATAATTTTTTGCTTTTCTTTCCTGGGTCACAAATTTTTGGAAGTTATGTATCTTTTCGTCCAAATTCTCTGGCAGCTTTTGTAAAATTTTCGTTTGTTTCTCAACGCTCTAAAGTTATTACACCAACTTGGAAATTCCTCGAAA